GCACGCCGTTGGCCCCCGGCGTGTGCTGGGTCTGGCTGGCGGCGCGGGACGGAGGGGACGCGCTGAAGGTCAGGCGCCATCGAGGCAGCGCGCGGAGCTCGTCCGTGCGCGCAGGGCTTGGTCACAGCTGCCGTCCCCAGGTGCTGCCTCACCTAACCGATGGGCCCACCCTGCGCTTCCCCCAAACAGGCAGCATACTCGGGGGTGCGGGCCCGGCCCGCGAAGAGCACAGCCCGGGAAGTTCTCCGCAGCCCCTTGCGGCGGCGCGGGACGCAGGGGCCTCCGGGAGACGGGGCGGGCGAGGGGCGGCCGCCCTCCCCGCGTGCCTGGGGATGGGCTCCACCGCGAAAGGAAGCGCCGGCCCCTCTGCGCGGCCGGGACTTTGGCCGTAGCTTCGCGTCAAGAGGGTATTTTACCTAAACGAAACCGCTTCATTCGTTCGCTCCTGCGGGCAGCAATGCCGCAGAAAGGCAGCGGACGTCGGACGAGCCCCGGCTCTCTGCGCCCCAGACCCCGACGTCCTGCCGCCGCGCTCAGAGGTGCCCCCAGCCCACGGTGGCCTCCCCTTGCCGGCACGGGTCGGGCTCCTTCTTGCCCCGAGAGAAACTCCAAATGCTCTTCCCAAAGTCCAATAAAAGTATTCCCGCGGCCTCTCCCGGGTTTGGTCGTTGGCACGGGGTGCCGGAGCACACAGCCGCCTCGCTGGAACCCGGTCTCCCAACTCGGAAACTGACCAGCCTCGTATGTCGGAGCCGATTCTGCCACCGCAAAGCCAGGGCCCCAAGGCCGGGGTCGCAGTCGTGGGACCCCCAGGCCGGAATCCTGGTCCCGAGATTTTCTGATTTAGGAATTCCCTGAATCTAAAAATATGAGTCCACTTTTCTGAAAACTGAGGTTTGGGTATTCTCTTGGCATCCCAATGACCTCTGAAACCACAAGGGCCGCAGGGAGGAAACCCCAGGTTGCTGTCCAGGGGGCGGAAGATGCAGGTCTGGGGTAAGGGCCAGGTCTGGGTAAGGTCCAGGGCTGGGGTAAGGGCAAAAGCTACAAGCAGAAGGGGCAGCACAGGAGGGGACCTGCTGCCCCTGCCCTTTCTCAGCCTGCTCTGTGCGTCCCCCATTTCTGCCAGGGAAAGGGAAGAGTTTGGCTGGGGCCTGGAGACCAGGCTGCCAGACTCCAGGATATAGAGGCCGGGGAGTACGTTTCTCTCATGGAAGCAGCTGCTGGGAGGAGGCAGCTGTGGCACAGCAAAAGGTGACACTCTGCTCCCCAGCTGTGTGACCTGCTGCTGCCACTTTGCTAGTCTTCTCTTCTCCACGGCTAAGCCGCTGTTCTCAGGAACCAGGCAGCGTCCCACGGACCCTTGGTGAGCCACACCGGGAGAGCCATGGGCCCTGCCAGCCACTGATGGAGCGGCCCGCAACTCGGAGTCCCTGACTCCCATCTGTGTCCCCCTGGCAGCCATCCTGCCCTAATGCATCCCGGCCCTCCCAGGGCGGCGGGGATCCCCACTTGGCAGGAAGCCTGAGACTGGGGTCCTGAGAAGCCAGAAGGATCCAGCGAGGTCTCCCCAGCCCTTACCTGAGCACCTTCCTCCTCCCTTCCCCAGTAATTACTTGTATTCAAAGAAACAAGAGTTTTTTATTGGGGAGGGGGTGTCAGATCAGGCAGAAGGAAGTAGGTGGTCCAGGCTGCACTCCCAAAACTGGGTTTTCTAGTTTGAACTTCTCCACGGCCTAAGAGGCTTAGGGCTGGAATGTCCCCGAGAGTCGTGGGTAGCCCTGAGGGCAGGCTCTGGCACATTCCTCCCTTTTTCCTAAAATACCTCCATTCTGGGAGCAAGGATGAGGGCAGGCTACCGGCAAGGATGCCCCCCATGAGGGCCTTCCAACCACCCTCCCCAGATTAAATTACTAAGCCTTTCTTGGGCGTAGAAAGTCTGTTTTGAGTGAGCCCAGCTTCAGAAAGGGTCCCTAAGATGACTCTTCCAACCCCACAATAGGCCAGGCTCCTCTGCTCAGCCCGGCCAGAACCCCAAACTCCAAAACTCCTGCAAGTCACACAACCACCGCCGGCTCTGCAGGGCCAGGGAGAAATGGCGAACAGGGCACATGGTTCCAGCTCCAGCAACCCCCTGCCCTCCTCTCCCCTGTCCCATTGAGCGAGCCGAAGGCTGAAGCAGGAGGAAGAGATAGCTGAGTCCCAGGCTGGACAGGGGAACTGAGGCACAGTGCAGGTCAAGCCTTGACCTTGAGGCAAGCACAGGTCACCCAGCCAAGCTGGGGGAAGTTGGGCCTCTGCTCTCACTCCTGAAGGAGTGCTGCCTCCATGCTTTGTGTGTGTGTGATGTGTCTGAGTGTGCCCAGGATCCGCCACAGCCTCCTGCAACCAGTCACTTTCTCACCCCTTGATCATTCAGTGCTGCCCAGGCGGCAGAACAGACTCCCGGGGGCAGTCCCCACTAGCCTCAGCCCCTCCGGAGCTCAGGGCCCTGAGGATACAGGGCTTCACCCGAAACAGTCTGAGGGCCTTTCTGTCCACACGGCAAGCATGGGATTTCCAAATAATGGGACTATTGTACCTGCCTGGAGGGCTGCCAGAGGCTTGGTCCCAGAGGGGCACACAGAAGGTGCTCAATAGCTGCATTAAATGCATCAACAGTGAGGGACACAAGCCCCTCAGACTGAGCAGCTGGAGCTGCTGAGTCACAAAACAGTCCCCATCCATGCAGTGCCTGACTCTTAGGGCCTTCTGAGAGGTGGGGGGTAGGCTGTTAGGGCCTTCTGAGAAGTCGGGGGCGGGCTGTGATCCCACCCTCTGGACGCCCAGACCGTTCATTTCCATGTCCCTGCCTGGAGGTGCTCAGTGCTTCCCTCCCTGGCCTGACATGTGGTGGGCTTAGAACGTATCTCCTATGTCCTACCTGCCAGTTTTCATGCCAAATGGCACAAATGTGCCTGTACCCCACACTCGCGTATGCGGGTACAGCGCGTACCTGTGCGTCCGTGTGTACAGCGCATACCTCTGTGTGTGTGTGTGTGTGTGTGTGTGTGTGTACGCGCACACGGCATGCTCCCACGCCCTGCCTGCATCCACGCTGTCTCTGGGGCAGGGCAGCTCTGCGGGGAGGACGCTGTGTGAGGGGTACTCCCTGGCTCGCTGCAGCACCTGAGGACCTCCTTGAAAGGAGGTGCCCGCTGCAGGACACTCAGCTGAGAAATGCAGTGAGAGGTGTGGCTGGGGCAAATGCTAGGCAGCTACACTCCCCACCCTCCGCCCCACCAAGACTAATGTCATGGAGCAGGGGGCTCAGCTTGGAAGGAGAAGGCAGGAGTCACTGAGCCTCCCCAATCCGAACTCTGGGAAGTGTATTCCCTCTGGGCCGCAGACCCTGCCTCCTGTGGTCACGGACACAGGGTGAGAGTAGGCCAGGCCCTAAGGAGCTGTGCCCTCTCTCCATGGCCCAGAGCTGGGCAGTCTGGGCCCAAGTGGAGGGAATGACCCGCACACCTGCCTCAGCCCTGCGACCCTCACTGAGGAGCTCAATCTGGGGCCTGGGTGTCTCCCCATGGGAGGGGCACAGCGAGAACGCAAAGACAGAGCCTGTGGGTGCCCCAGATGCTGACACCTGCACAGTCAGTGCCAAGCTCGGACCCCCCAGGAGGAGCAGAGCGGGCACTGGGCCCCGGGTCAGGGCGCTGGGGCTGGAGAACAGGGAAGTGCTGCTCCCCCAGGCCGCCGTCCTGCCCAGCATTGCACTCCTGGTTGCTGTGTTTGGCGGAGCTGGTTGGCAGGTAAGGGGCAGAGGGCAGCCTGGGGACCGCCTGTGGCCAGAGGAGCAGGTCAGGGCCGCACCTTACCGCCTCGGCTAGGGCCTGTTTGCTCAAGACACTGAGGTCTCAGGGCCAGTTAACAATTGTTGAGCAAAATCCTTCGACAAACTTCACTGAAGGAAGGGACCACTCTTGGGAGAGGGAGGCCAATGTCTGCCTGTGCCCAGCCGAGGCCCACCGGAGCCGCGCTTAGCCCCACAGCGTGGGTGAGCAGCTAGCAGACCCAAGGCGTTCTGGGCTGCCGGCCCAGGCCTGGGAGACAGCAGTCACCTGGCCCACGTACCAGGCCTACGCCTGAAGCCCTGGGAAGCCAGAGCATAGGCCCCAGGCTGGGGCAAAGCTACCCTGAAGGAGGGCAGAGGTTGCCAAGGCCGACCCCCTGCCTGTCACTAAAGGCGCAAAACAAGGCGAGAGGTACAAGAGGCTGTGGGCCCTGGCTGGGTTTTGGGGTCTCCTGCCGCACTCACCAGCCGCCTAGAGCCAACAGAAACGTTTCGTCTGATTAGAAGCCATCATTTCTATCCCAATCCCGGAAAATTGACTGCGGTGCAGAGAGGGAGGCCTGAGAAGCAGCCTTAGGGGAGAGGGTCCAAGCTAATTAGGAGGCAGCATTCGGGCCCATTAGAGCGCAAGCTGCTGTCACTCAGCTGGGCTGAGTTCCCGGGAGAAGAGGCCGGGGAGGGAGGGGCGGACGGCCCCCCGACGAGGGCACGGCTGGGAGCTGCCGGGACGGGCCCCGGGCTCTGCCCCCGCCCTGGCGCTGGCTCGAAGGCGCCCGCTCCGCGCGGTCCTGCTCAGCAAACATTCACTCGTCCCGGGCTGTTCGCGGCGCGGGGCCGGGGACTTCGAGGCCGAGAGCAGAGTTGCTTCTGGGCGAAACTAGGCATTTGGGGCCCGAGGTGGGCACGCGCCGCGCGGGACTTGCAGGCCAGATGCGTTTCTTTTGTGAGGTCGAGGGAGAAGCCGGTGTGTCACCGGGGAAGGAGGGAGAGGCTCGGCGAGGCCGCGGGGGGCGGGGAGGCGGCGGGAAGGTGGCTGCGGAGGGGGAGGGCGCGGGCGAGGCGGGGAGGGAGGCGGCGGGGAGGGCGCGGCGGCGCGGGCGGCTCGGGGCTGGATTCCGCCCGCGCTCGCTCGCTCGCTCGCTCCCTCCCAGCCCCCTCCCACCGGCCCACCCCACCCAGCACCCCTGGCGCAGGGACTGCTGGAACCTGGCGGTGCGCGCTGTCGCTTTAAGACAGACTCTGCGGGCGCCGTCCGGAGCCTTAGAAACCGGCCCCGGATCGTGAGCCGGAGCCGGAGCCGGGGCCGGGCGGGCGGCTGAGGCCCGAGCGGCGGCAGCGCAGCGCGGAGCCAGGCGCCGGTCGCGAGGAACTGCCTCCGCCGCAGCCCGCCCGGCCCCGCAGCCCCGGCGGTCCATGGGGCGGTCGCGGCGTCGCTGCGGGCGCGGGCAGCCCTGCGGGGCAGCCGCTTAGGCGCAGCGCTCTTGTCCCCGCAGGTCGCAGCCAGGGCGGCCGGGCGCGCCCAGCCCCGGCCCCTGGAGCGCCCGCCGCGGTCCCCACCTCCATGGACGCCTTCAAGGGGGGCATGAGCCTGGAGCGGCTGCCGGAGGGGCTCCGGCCACCGCCGCCGCCGCCCCATGACATGGGGCCCGCCTTCCACCTGGCCGGCGCGGCAGACCCCCGAGAGCCGCTGGAGAACTCGGCCAGCGAGTCGTCCGACACGGAGCTGCCAGGTAAGCGCGGCGCCCAGGGCCGGCCTCCCTCTCCGCCCCCAGCGCGCCGGGAGCTTTCTCTTTCCCGCTCCTGACCTGGCGGTGGACGCGGAAATCTACGCACACGCGCGAACGCACTTCCACGCGGTCCCCGCCCGCCGGACACCGGCAGACGAGCGAGCCTGCGACGGGAGGGTGGGACTGACAGCCCCTCTCGGTCAGGAACGCGTGGAACGCGGGAGGAGCTGGGTTTGCACCGCCGGGCGCAGAGCGGCAGCTCGGACGAAGGACGAGGAGCCGACGGAGAAGGGAACGGGGGTGACGGGCGGGCGAGAGAAAGCGCCGGAGACTGGGGAGAGGGGCAGACACCCTGACAGCGGGCGGCAGATGGAAAGGGAGAGACTGAAGAGCAGGGGCGAGAGGGAAGAGCAAACCGGGTTGTGGGGAGAAAACATGGAGCAAAAGAGGGAGACGCGGAGGACAGACAGGGTGAGCGGGCCACGGGGCGCGGGCGGACTCCGGGCAAGGCCGGACGAACCGAGCCCGGGTCCAGGGATCCCGGCCCACATGCACGGCAGGAGCCTGCAGTCGCCAGGCCGCCCGGCCGGCCCCCGACTCGGCTCCGGCGCGTCTCCGTCTGAGCTTCCTTTCTGCCCGGCGCGAGCTGGGCCGGCGGGTGGGGGCGCGGCGAGTCCCGCCGGCCCGGCCCGGCCACCCGGGTCTCCCAGCGAGCGGCCCCCGGCCCCGGCTCCCGCGGCGTGGGCGCCTCTTGTGCGTTCCTTTCCTAATCCACCGCGGAGTGCTTCTGCGTTTTTCATCTGTGTTTGTTTCTGTTTTGCATCCCTGCGTGACTTTCTCTGAGCGGTTCTGTGTGCTTGGTTCAAAAACAACGTTGAACTACACTTTTGTTTTCAAGAGTTTTAAGTGTGGTCTTTGGTTGGTTACTTTTAAAACCTAGAGAAATATATAACTGTAGGTTGATTTTTTAAAAAACCAAATCTATGAAGATGAATTAACTATTCTAATTGTATTTTTCGAATTTGAAAGAATATATTAAGTGTATTTCTCTGGAATTTAAAATATCTAAACGCAACATCATTCTTCGGGAGATTTTAAAAGTCGATCCAAAATGGCGCATTTCTCCGGGATTTTCTCAAAATCCATTTACGGTGGTGTTATTTGGGGAATTTAAATTATCTAACTGTAATGTTGTGTTGCTCTGGGATTTAAAAATGATCTCTACAAGGGTGTTATATTGGGAAGAGGTTAAAACTCTATCTACAACTGTACACTGATTATTTTCTTGATCCCAGAGAAATAAATGCCTGTGTCTGCCTGGAGTTCATGCACGTAGAGCTCTGTATTTAGTTAAGGGTGTGTTTGCACGAAGGTTTCTGGCTTTTTAATTTACATTTGCTCTGTGTTTCTACCTGCCTATTTTTGAGAATGTGTGACCCTCCCAGCCCCCAGTGTTCTTAGGCAGAGGGCTGTGAGCTTTTCTGGGCTTCTGTGTTTTGTTTTAAAATTCTTTTCCTTTATGTTTCAATGTTTCTATGGCTGCATGTGTTTTGTGTAGTTTCAGAGAGGGGGAGGCTGAAGCCTGAGGTCACCTAGACGGAGTGTGTCTGTCTGGGCTGCAGTTGGAGGGGGTTTCTAGGCCCTGGGACTGGAGGCCTGGAAGTAAGGCCGAGCCCCGGCTGCGTTGTGCCTGCCCCGTGTGGCTCCACACAGGGGAGAAGAAAGTGGAGGGGCTTCAGGCTGGAAAAATCTGATTCTAGTTCAGAAAAGCAGAGACCCTTTTAGATTTAGGCCGCCCTCCACCCCCAAGAGCCTGCAAAAACAAGCACACATTTGCGGGCAACAGCGGCGGCAGGGCCGGAGCCCGAGCCGAGCTGCGGGAGCAGGCCCGGCCCAGCCGGGAACCCAGGCCGCCGCGCCGGCTCTGGCTCCGGCTCCGGGGTTCTTCTCCGTGGCGCGCCAGACTAGAGACGACTAGCGCCCGGCGGGCTCTTTCCAATGGGGACAACTCCCAGGGCCCCTGGAGGGAGGAAGGGCCGCCTGCGCTGATGGCGAGCGCTTCGGTGGAGCCGGGACGGGGTGCAGCGGGGCGTAATCCCGAGGTGACCCGCGCCCCGTACTGCCTGCTGCAGAGAAGGAGCGCGGCGGGGAACCCAAGGGGCCCGAGGGCAGTGGCGCGGGCGGCGCGGGCTGCGGCGGTGCGGAGGACCCCGCCAAGAAGAAGAAGCAGCGGCGGCAGCGTACGCACTTCACAAGCCAGCAGCTGCAAGAGCTGGAGGCCACGTTCCAGAGGAACCGCTACCCCGACATGAGCATGAGGGAGGAGATCGCCGTGTGGACCAACCTCACCGAGCCGCGCGTGCGGGTGAGCACAAGGCGCGCGCCCAAGGGGACCCGCACGGAGGGCTGTCCGGCTGCTTTCTGCAGCTGCCCCGAAAGCTCAGCCCGTACTCGCTTTGGCTCTCCCACCACTCAGACCTGCTCCCTCCCTCCCCGGAGACTCCCACCTGGGGCCTCGGCCCACCTAGAGTCAGTAAAGCCCCTAGCGCCCCTCGGCTGCTGTGGCCTCCAACCGGCCGCCCATACCCCCATCCTACCTGACCACGGGCTCTGCGACACACCCAGCCCAAAGACCTGACTCCAGGGGACTCTCCCATTCCCTGTGGGGCTCGGGCCCCACTCAGAGGTTAGCGCGATACCCGGGGCCAGAGACTAGGGACAAGATTCCCTGCCGCTGGGGGTGGGGGGACCGCGGGAGCTGCTGGACTTGCCGTGAAAACGAAAGGGAAAGGCAGGTCCTGCCTGGCTGCCTCGGAGAGGCCTGAAAGGTGCTTGGGCTTGGGGCTCTCAAAACTTCCTGGAAGCTGTGGTCCTGTCCCGCAACTAGCCTCTCCAAACTCTCAAGATATTGTCCACCTTCCCTAACCTTTCAGCCAGTTAGTAGCTAGACCCCCTTGCCTAATGCCCTTTCCTGTAGGTCTTGGGGTCAGGTGAGCTGGGGGGTGGCTCTGGTGGCCAAATGGCCTTGCCAGTCCCTTTTGAGATGTAAGGTCTCCGACTGAGGACTAGACTGCATTCTCTCTCTTCTCACTCGTTTGGTTCCCAGTAAATGCAAGCCTTTCCTGCCAGAGCCACAAGAGAATCATTCCTTCCCTGGGTGCATGAATATTTAATCAGATATTGGGAGCACCTCCTAAGCCAGAATACTGTCCCACCTGGCCCACAGACTCCCTACCATAACCCCAGTCCTCTCCCCTCCCTAGTCCGGCTGTGGAGTGGAGACACAGCCCTCAGTAATCCTGAACTCACTAATCCTGCCCAGGTTTAAGGCGGCTGGGGGGGGGGGCAGGCAGGGTCAGTGCTAGGGACCAGCGAAGCAGAGGTCCCCCAAACCGGCTCAGGAAACTGAGCTCAGGGCTGGAGAAGGGTCGGAGAGGGCAAGAGGCCTGTGGTGGGCAGACAGGTGAGGAGCGGGGAAGATCTGGGGGCTGGGCAGAAAAAGAGGTTTTTACCAAATTTGAGGGGAGATTAGAAACTAGTAAGAATCAAAAGAAAATTGAATATGTGTGGAGAAACGTGTTTGGCATATATTTAGATGGCAGGAAAGAAATTACATATTTAAGAGAGAAGCAAAAGTATTGAGTATTTGGGGAAAAGAATCAACTACTTAACGGGAAACAGAAAAGGTCAGATATTTGGAAAAAAAGAATAAATATTCGTGGAGGGATCAAAGGGATCAAAACTGAGAAGAAAACAGGCTAAGCGAGAAGAAAGAGGTTCAGATATCGGGGTGGACCAAACGAAAATAAATATCTGGGACAGAAATGAAAATATCAAATATTGCCAATAAAGATAAAAATAGACTGAGCAATGAAATAGGTCGAAGAATCAGGGGAGCCCGAAGGGGAAGGAAAATATCTTTTGCATTTGGGGGAGAAGAAAAGGGATGGAATATTTAGCGGGTAGGTAGGAACCCGTTTGGCGAGGAAGGCAGAAATGTGCAACTGGTTGAGAGGGGAAGAAAGAAAACGAATATTTGTTCAAATAAAAGAGAATCCGTATTAGGCGAGGAAAACAGACTTAATTTGGAGAACAGGATAAAGATGGGGAAAAGAGGGGAAAAATACTAACATTTCCGGGGGGCAGGAAAGCAACCATTATGGAGAGGAGGCAGGAGCGGAAATTTCGGTCGGTCTTCAGAGAGAAGAAACGACACCCGGAGAGCAGGCGTTGGCCGGGATGGTGGGGGGTGGGGAGTGGAGGTGGGGGCCTTCCCGCCCTCGCAGCCCTGACCCCGTCTCGCGCCCCCTCCCCCAGGTCTGGTTCAAGAACCGGCGAGCCAAGTGGCGGAAGCGCGAGCGCAACCAGCAGCTGGACCTGTGCAAGGGCGGCTACGTGCCGCAGTTCAGCGGCCTGGTGCAGCCCTACGAGGACGTGTACGCCGCCGGCTACTCCTACAACAACTGGGCCGCCAAGAGCCTGGCGCCGGCGCCGCTCTCCACCAAGAGCTTCACCTTCTTCAACTCCATGAGCCCGCTGTCTTCGCAGTCCATGTTCTCGGCGCCCAGCTCCATCTCCTCCATGACCATGCCGTCCAGCATGGGCCCGGGCGCCGTGCCCGGCATGCCCAACTCGGGCCTCAACAACATCAACAACCTCACCGGCTCCTCGCTTAACTCGGCCATGTCCCCGGGCGCCTGCCCGTACGGCACCCCCGCCTCGCCCTACAGCGTCTACCGGGACACGTGCAACTCGAGCCTCGCCAGCCTGCGGCTCAAGTCCAAGCAGCACTCGTCGTTCGGCTACGGCGGCCTGCAGGGCCCGGCGTCCGGGCTCAACGCGTGCCAGTACAACAGCTGACCGCCCCGCCAAGCCGCGGGGGCCGGCGGGGGCGGGGGACGCGCGCGGGGCCGCCGCTCACGCGTCTCGGCGCCGCTGCCCCCCACTCCCTCCTCCGGGTTGGTTTTGTGTTTGCTTTTCCGGACCCCACTTAGCCCTCCAAAACAAAACAAAAAAAGAAAGTAAAAAGACGTCGGAGAAAAGTGCCGCGCAATAACGGATGAGTTGCAATTTCCCCCGGGATGGCGCGGGTGGCGTGTGCGTGTTCCCGCGGGCCCCGGCGGCCCACCCCGCGGAGGGGACTCGGCACGGGAAGCGAGCGCCGAAGCCCGGCGGCCCGGAGAGGACGCCCTCGTAGCCCGCGTCCCCGCCGCGCCGGACCCGGACTGAGCGGCCGCGCCTGTGCGGAACCCAACGAGGAGCCGGGGTTCCCCGTCTCGTAAGACCCGCGACGCCTCTCTGAGCTGGGCCCGGCCGAGCGCACTGTAGCTCGATTTGGATCCGAGTTGGAGCAGGCGCTGGGCCGGGGTCTGGCGCTCGCTGTGGAGCCGCACGAGGCCCCGGCGCGCCCCGTAGAGCCCTCGCCGGCCCTGCGCCCCGGAGCCCTAGATTAAGGCCACGGAGCTGCAGCGGACGGTGTGGACGCGGCGGGAGGACGGGGAGGGCTTGTCTCAGAGGACCCCAGCCCCCAAGCTTAGCCGCAGGCTCAGGCCCTCTGCTCGGCTTCTGGGCCAGGAGGACGCCCCGTCCCAGCGAAGAGCCCCTTCCTCGCCGCCCGCCGCGCAAGAGTGGAGCCGGCGGGGCGCGGCCCCCGGGCCCTGAGCCCACTTTGCACACCCGCTCTCCGGCCCGCGCCCCTGTTTACAGCGTCCCTGTGTATGTCGGACTGACTGTATAGAATTATAAATTTGTCTATATCGACTTGTCCATGTACGTCTATTAAAACCATAGTCCGAGCGTGCTAAGCACTGCCGAGCCCCGACTGCTTCATTGGGCCGAGGGAGGAGGCAGGTAGAAAGGGAACCGCGCCACCTCGGGCCCGTGGGTAGGAGCGAAGAGGCGGCCCTCGGGTCTCCCTACCTTCGTTTCCCACCGCCATTCCCGACCTGCGTAGCGCAGCTGCCGCGAGGGCGCCGCCGGCGTCCCGAGCTCCCGCCCCCTCCCGCCCCGTGCGCACCGGCTGAGCTGCTCCGCCGCTGGGCGCCCGGCAAAGGGCCGTCCTGGCCAGGACCCCCATCCCTTCCCGGCCGCCGGGCTCTGCAGGCTCCTCCCAGGCTGGGTCTGCGGTGACCTTGGTGGTCCCCAGGGTACTATGGGGCCCTTGCTGCCCGCAGCGGTAGGGTGGGGGCTGCTGAGAACCTCTTTAGGCCTGAGGTTGCCTTTTCTCCCGTGGGCCGGGCACATTCCCCCCGCACCTCCCTTGGCTATCCCAGGAGGACCGGACCTGCCAGAGTCTAGCCAGGGCCTTCCTCCCTAATGCCCCAGCGTGCGGAGATCCCAGCCAGGGGCGTGCGGCTGTGTCGGGGGAAAGTGTCCGTCACAGAGGACTCACTTCTCACTTCCCTTCTATCCCAACTTAAGGGGGCTTTGGCCGCCTCCGCCCTCCCCTGGCTTTTGGAAACTACTGAACAAGACCAGCCTGTAAACTGCCTGTAAAATTCTGCTTCCCTTAAGTAAGTCATTTCTAATGGCAAAACAAAATGTTTGCAGCTGCAGCGGGGGAGGAAGGAGGGGTGATACTCTGCTTTAGAATCACCTTGCGGTGTGGATTGGCACTGCCCCGGGAGCTGGACCCGGGCGAGCCCTAGCTAGGAGCCGGGCACAGCCACCAGCTTAGTCATGAGCTGACAGCTGGAGAGCCCTGTGCACACACTCTCAAACCAGGTCAACACTGCCTCTGAGGTCCGGAGAGCTAGCCCGGAACGATGGCGCCACGAGACTGTAACTGGGCTATGGTCACACTAAGCCAATGGGGTTTTAGATTCCAAAGCCAGGCATCTTCCTACCGAACTTCTCACCTTCAGATGAGGAGTGAAGAGGGGTCCTCCCTGGAGGATGGCCCAGCCTGATGCTGTGGGACTTAGCGTTCTTAGGGTTCTGAGATGGACAGGGTCAGATACACAGGCTAACCGGGGTGGGGGTTGGGGCAGGGGGCTGGAGCCAGACAGCCCCTCCCCCAACGGTTCCAGTCCAGAGCTCTGACCCCTCACTTTCTGGAAACATAAACACAACCACATCTGGACTCAGAGTGCCTCCCCCAGCCTCACACATCTGCCAAGGCAAGGGGGCCCTGGTCCCAGCTGAGAGCAGGAGGCAGGGGAGACCTAGAAGGAGGTGGGCTGGAACAACGTGGGAAGCAAAAAGGAAGCCTCTCCTGAGAGTCAGGCCTTGCTCCAGGTGAGACGGGCTGCCCAGGGGTCTGGTAGAGGCGCAGAGTAGTGGGGGGGGGGCCCACAGGCCAAACAGCTGCAGACGGGTGGAGGGGCAGAAGTAGTCCCAGAATGACCCCATCATCCCTCAAGGACCATGGCCAAGCAGGTGAGTGTGAGACCCAGGCTCAGGCCCCATCTGGCTGTTTTCGCCCAGCTCTTCTGCGGCTTGTAAAGACAGTAGCAGCCAGCTCTTCTCATACTGGCTACAGGGTCATCTCTGGCTGGGGAACACAGGGGCTCTGAAAGCCAAGTCTAGTGGAAAAAGGCAGAGAGCCCTAGCCTGCCCCGCCTGAAGAGTGGGGGAGGGGCCGCCACTCACTCATTCTGCATTGACTGTGCTAGTGATGGAGCATCGAAAACAGACACAGTCCCTGCTCTCCCGGACAAGTAAACAAACAAGTGTAATTACAACCTGGGCTGAAGAAAAACAACAGGGTGCTGCGAGTAAGAGTGAATGGGAGCCCTGCTTTAGACAGGGTGGGCAGGCAAGGCTGCTCTGGGGGGTGGCTGCTCCGTCTTCAGGAGTGAGCACTGACGCTGGCTGAGCCCGCACGGGGCTCTCGTACCTGCACAGCAGCCCTGTGGGGATGGCACTATTGATTACTGTTGTTATTCATATTATTAAAGTGAAATGTCCCAGCTCTCGCCTTGAGGCCCCGGTGCCCCCTTTCTATATTAATATAGGGCTTCTCTGTCAAAGTTTCTCAACAGGCCATTTCTGAAATGTCCTTTGGGGCCCAACTTAGTTTTCCCTCCTCCACCTGCACTGGCTGTCAGGACTGACAGTTCTGCTGACCACACCCCACCCTACCTTCTCCACCCCACCCCACCCCACCCCACCCCCGGAACCAGCCCAGGCTTGGGCCCTCCTGACCTAGCCTGTTGTCCTGTGGTAGGATCCTCCCACCACCCTCTGTGGGCCAGGCCCTGGGACATCCAAGGAGCCAGACCCAGTTCCTGCTGTCCACGGGGCCTCAGTGGAGAGGCGGGTGAGCGTGGAGAGCGCTCTGAGTGCTGGGAGCAGAGGACGGGCAGTCATATCTAAGGGGTCCCAGCCACAAGGGATGGAGATGCCTGAACACTGGTTCGTACATCATGTTACCAACAGCAAACACCAGGCCCTTAAGGAGCGCCAGGCCCCATGCAAGCACCTCGTGAGAATTCTTTTCCATGCTCCTTACAGCAACTTCATGACGGAGTGGCTTGTTAGCCTTATTTTTCACAGGAAGAAACTGAGGCACAAAGGGAATCTATAACTTGCCCAGGACGGCACTGCTAATGAGGAGTAGCGGCAGCACTTGAACTCAGGCCTTCTGCCCAGGGCCCGCTGCACCGTACACTGCCCTTACATGAATCACATTTGTATTCAGGGCGGAAAGGTAATAAAAAGTTAGAATTCACTTCAAAAGGTGGAGCTCAGCTGTGCTCCAGGAAAGAGGAAGAAGAGGGCCCGGGCTGCAGGCTTTGCCCTCGGAGCTCAGGGCTGCGTGGGAGCGGCAGAGGGCAGGGGAGGGGCAGGGCAGGCAGGGCACCGCGCAGCTCTCTGGTGAAGAAAGGGAACCCCACGCTCCCAGCTCTGTCTATTACACGCTTCCCATTCCCCAGACGGGGCCCCTGCCAGGCCCTGCCTCCTCGCCCCTCGTCATGGGAACCCCACTCCTCACACTCCTGTGCTGCCCCTGCAGGTCCCGATCTTGCCTCCCAGAGCAGGTGTCCAGCTATCAGGTGGCTTCGGGGCACGCCGGAGACACTGCCGTGGCAGTCAGGGTGGGGCGCTGAGACTTCATCAGTCAGACACCACAGAGGAGCAGGGTCAAGAGCAGAAGGCTGCACACGGCGCAGGGAGGGGGCAGAGGGCAGGACGGCTTTCGTGGAGGACAAAGCTGCTCCAGCAAACGCAGGCACATGTCACCCTGTGCTGTCGCCTGCAGTGCACTTGAAATGCTTTATTCCTCCTATTAGCCTCGTTTTACAGACGGGGAAGGTGCAGCTCAGGGAGGTCGCACAGCCTGTCCGGAGGCATCCCACACCACCTCAGGGACTCCAACCTAGCCTGTGCGACCACGCCGCCTGGGCTTAGCTACTGCGAGCACTGCCTCCTGGAGGCTGGCCCTGGCAGCTAGACAGGGTCACTGTGGTCACAGAGCCAGCATGCTGGACTGAGTCAAACAGGTGCAGACAGCAAGTCCTGCGGAAGTGTCTGCACATAGTAGGTGCTCAATAAATATTTGTTGAATAAAAGGATTGAGGGGCTGCCTTCCCTCACCTCACACCCCCTTTCCCCTCTCTGCACTTTTTTCTCCTCTCTCTTTCTCCTTTCCTTCTTCCCACACACGGTGGCTCTGCACGGGCAGCTCTTGGCACTGCTTTTAAAAGTCTATCTGAAAAAACAACCCAATTCAAAAATAGGCAAATTCTAACCAGAGGTGCAGGGTTAAAAAGCAAAAAAAAAAAAGGCAAAGAACTTGAAAAGACATTTCCCCAAAGAAGACATACAAATGACCAATAAGCATATGAAAAGAGAATCAACACGACCAGCCATCAGGAAAATGCAAACCAAAACCACAGTGAGAGAACTCCTCCTACCCATCAGGAGGGCTATTATTTAAAAACAGAAAATAACAAATGTTGACGGGGATGTGGAGAAATCTGAACCCTGTCCTTGCTGGTGGGGATGTAAAATGGTGCAGCCGCTGTGGAAAACAGGGTGGGGGTTCCTCAAAAAATCAGAAATAGAAGTACCGTAGGGTCCAGCAATCCCGCTGCTGGGTACGTACTCAGAAATGGAAGCAGGGGCTCAGAGAGGTATTCGTGCACCCAGACCCGCAGCAACAGCCGGAACATGCTCCTCACAACAGCTCAAGAGTGGAAGCAACCCAGCGTCCATCAGCAGGCGAACGGACACAGTGTGGCAGACACATCCAGTGGAGTATTATTCAGCCTTAAAAAGGAAAGAGGCTAAGATACATGCTACAACACGGATGAACGCCGAGGACGTCACGCTAAGTGAAATAAGCCAGTCACGAAAGGACAGATACTGTGATGACACTTACATGAGTGCCTAGAACAGGCAAATCCACGAAGACAGAAAATAGAACAGTGGCTGCCAGGGCTGCGGGAGGGGGACGGGCGTTAGTGTCTAACGGGGACAGAGTTTCAGGCGGGAAAGATGAAACAGTTCTGGAGGCGGATGGTGGTGACGGTTGCATGGCAATGTGAATGCACTTAATGCCACTGACCATACACTAAAAAGATTAAAGTGGTAAATTGTATGATAGGTATATTTCACCACAACTTTTTTCAAACAGTGTAGCTGTGTTTATGCCCCGCCTTATCCAGAGGGGCATCCCGAGGCGGGTGCCCAGGACGCCCGGGGGCCGTGTCCCCTGCCTGTTGGCAAACCTGTCCCTGCAGTCCTCTGCAGCCAGCAGCCCTTGTCGGCCCCGGCAACAGCTGACACTCCCGTGGCCTTCAACCCAGTTCCTGTCTTCGCCCATCTGCCCAGCACAGCAGCGGGGTCCCAGTGAGGACAGACA